TTCGGTTCGGTTCAGTTATTTGCTTAATAACCGAACGGTTGAGGAAGTTGAATAATCATTCGGGTTCGGTTCGGTTCGGTTAATAACCGCGGTTAACCGAACGGTTATTGAGTTTTTTTAATATTTTAATTTTTATCCTCATTATTATTAATATTTTTTTTGTACTTCACTTTTAACCTTATATATTTCATCCAATAAATCATAAAATGTAATTTTTTTAATTTTTATCCTAATTATTGAAATTTTTAGATTTGTTTATAATTTTATTTTACATGATTAATTATTTTGTCCATTTTTTTAAATAGATATTTTGAAATTTATGTAGGATTAATAAATTTTTTTTAAAAATATATCATAACTGAACCGAACCGATCTAAAACCGAACCGAATAAACCGGAAAATATAACCGTTTGGTTATAATTTTATTATGCAAAAACTGAACCGAACCGAACCAAACCGATTAAATCTATATAACCGTTTGGGTATGATTTTTTTATAACCGAAATAACCGAACCCGAAATAACCGAACCGAAAACCGAACCGAAACCCGAAATGACCACCTCTCTCAGTGTTGTTACTTGTTATACGATTGATTAAATACACAACCATAAACTCACTGTAAGAATTTCAATGCAAGCAAGAAATCATAAATTTTATATAAAACTTATGCTGAATTAATACATTAGCATAACGTGATTTTAATTATAAGAATAAAACTTTACCATCAATTAACTCCAACTTTAACCAAGTCTAAAAAAATAATAAAAACAGAGACACGTTAAATTTATTTCGCGTAAATCCGATTAAAAAAATATGTAGATTAAACTGAATTATAAATTAATTTTTTTACATTGAAAATACAAAAAACTGAAACTTTTTTTTTTGGTATAAAAAAACTGAAACTTAGACTCTCAACAAAAAAAAGTCGAATAAGAAACATTAGATTAAACTGTTTATAAAATAATTATCTCATTCTTTAAAATCTACATTTGAAAATTGCGATTGATTTTTTTTAATTAAAATGCCACTGATTACATTGTTTTGCCTTCGAGTTTGGTCCTTTCACGTGCTGCCATGTTCCCCGCCTTATACGCCCTATCTCTACCACACACACACACACACATATATATATATATATATGTGTGTGTGCATGTGTTCGTCTGTACGTATATATGTATGTATGTATCTATGTATGAGGATGCAAGCAAAATACATAGCCAACAAGATTAAGGGTTCAATTTTTTTTTATTTTTTGCCAGGGGACTCGATTCATATGTCTCCTCCCCTGTTTGGCAGGACTCTATCATCTCAGAAATTTCATAAATCACAAGATTCAAACACGTATAATGTCTATACATACACATATATATATATATATATGTGTGTGTGAGTGTATGTATGTGTGTGTGCATGCGTTATATAGATAGTAGCAAAAGAGTCGTCGAAAAAGAAATGGTGAAAAGCGAAGAGCATCGAACCTTTCGGCGATATCGCGTGATGTCTTCAATGTTATCGTTTTTTAGGCAAACAAACAATATGTCTTTTTCACATAAACACATGTACATATATACATACTATATATATATATATATCTAAAAAAGTTAATAAAGTGTTTTTTTTTCAAAATTAAGTAACTATATTCAGTAATTAACGATATTTGAATTTGAACACCCCATAAAGTTGTGTGTGCTCACTAATTACACTTATGTGGTGCTCTAATGGAAAACATACTTAATTATCTTGATCACGAATTAATGTCACTGCATTCAACAGTGGCGCCGTAATTATTTGAATTTTTCATCTCAGGTTCCGACCAAACGCATAATAAAATTCAAAGTTTGCTCGCAGGCTGCAAAAAGAAACTTCTATGCTTTTATATTATAGTTTTTTTTTCTTCCCTTTGTAAATAATTTATAGTTGTAACTTTGAATATCTATTTTCCTATTTAACCTGCCACCACTTCAGAAATGTTATCATGATATTTAGTAGTGAAGCAAATCTGCAACCTCTTTAGATCAATACAGAGGAAGCCATCCTTAATGAACATTCATGAGAAATGGAAATAACTTACACAAACCCTTCTCGTAAATCTGAAATTCTTACAAATTCGAAAAAAAATATGAAGGGGAAAAAGAGAGAGAAAAAAATCTAAACTAGATGATCAGTGGGCTTCTGGTCTAGCGTTCTAAGATTCGTACCTGTAAAGATGATGATGATGATGATGACACTGTTTCATGTGATTCTTGAAGATTCTGCTTTTCTCTGTTCATCGCAGAGTTCATGAATTTGAGAAAAGAGCCTTCTGTCACATTCGGTGGCTCTGGATTCGGAGATGATGAAACTGACCCGTTTCTCTTCTTCTCTTCCTCCATCAGTCTCCTTCTCAGCTTCTCCTCTGCATCTCTCAGGAACTTGAATTTTGGTGGAGGTGAAGATGATGACGACGACGACCTGAAGAACCTGTTGAACTCACGCTCACCCTCTGATTCAAAGAGAGGGTTGAATCCATGGTTTGGGTACGACTCCAAAGGCGAGGAGGAGGATTTCATTGTCGGAGAGGCCAAAGGGGTGAAAAAGCTAGGGGTGTTACAGTCGTTTACTCCCAAGGCAAGATCACTCAGGCTCCTCGTTCTTGACCTCGACCCTTTCCTCGATCTTCCATCATCAGATTCCAAATCCTCCTTTGTCTCTTCTTTGATTGTGAAGAGGAACCTCTGGTTGTGAAGCTTCATTAGCTCCGCTTCAAACCCTGCATCCCCAGCCAAGTGTTTCATCAATCCAAGCTCTAAATCCCGTGTTTCGTCGAAATCCCCATCTGGGTTTCTCGCAATCTCGCCGCCGCCATTGTTGGGCTGCAAAGACTGAGGCTTTTTGAAGCAGAAGAGCTGAATGAGATCCTTTGCATATCCATTGTTGTGCTCTTCCTCTTTCTCTTCTTCACTCTCTTGGCTTATCACTCGCTTGCTCTTCTTGTTCTTATTCCATCTCAGAAGATAGTAGACCTCTGCAACAAGTGCCAATAGAAGACAGCCAAACACCAAGCTCAACCCAATAGCTAACCCACCAACAGTCTTCATCTTTTTTTTCCCCTCCAATTTCTTCTCCCTAAATGTTCACATCACATGAAACTAGAACCCTAATTTAGCCAAAATATTTTGATCGCAGGAAAAAAGACACCGGATTTGGGTACCCTTTTGGCCGCTTTAGGAAACCCAATGCGTAGAACTTTGAAAGGGGTGATTCAAACAATGTGTTTACAAGCAAATTTCAAATTGCTGGTGGAGCAGAGAAGGAAACTTGCCTCGAAGGGAGTTGGGAAGACATAAAAAAAAAAAAAGACTTTTTTTTTTTGAAATTTCTTTTTTTCTTCTTCTTCTTCTTCTTGCCGTTGTAGAGAGATAAACTTCTCTTTCACTGCAATTTATGTACACAAGTTGAGAGATTCCTTGAAATATTTGCACAAGAGGGCCAATTGCCTCTGATGCTTCCAGCCTTAACAGTTTGAAAATTTTTATTTAAATTTCCAAAAAAAAAAAAAACTATAAAATTAGGTAACCCATTCATGTATTTTTAGTCTAGTTTTAATTAAGTTTGTTGTTACCGCAATTTATTAGTTAATGCTTTTTTTTTTTAGTGTAAAAGAATATGTTAGTACCTTTCAACATTGGGTTTTTAAATACATGTGATGGTCGCTTATATATGATGCGGACTTAAATGCGCAATTTTTTTTAATATTGTGTGGAAAATAATTTTAAATACATCACGTATTTAAGAATATATTTTTAAAAGAAAATTCACTCTTTGTTTGGTATCTACGTCGCTTTCTATAATTTGAATTTTAATCCTAACCCAATAAGTCTTTTTTGCTTGTAAAATTACCAAAACTAAATTTCTAATTTTAACCACAAGTTATACCTATAAGTTAAAAAAAAAAAATCGTTTCGAAAAAAAGAAATTTTCTAATATTAAAATCTATATGTATAAAATATTATATCAGAATTTTTTTTATAAACTAATTATTTATTGTCTATCCAGTATATATCAAATACGTAGAGCGGGATAGAAAAAATAAGACAAGAACTAAAGAAAGATGAATTAAAACTCAGAATCTTGTAAATTCGAACAATTACATGTTAGTTATTGGATCATGAAACCTTTTTAACTATAGTTTTGTAGTTATCATAACTATAGAATTCAAGGTTTAATAATAATAATAATAATAATTAGAAAATAATAGAGAAATATATGAGAATAGAAACTAAGGGAAGGGAAAGGAATGCATCAGCCACGCGGGGAATCCAGAAAATATGATTGGATAAAGACAGAACCAAAGAAAGACAACCTCTCCTTAGCTGGTTCTTTCAATTTATTTATTTTTTTTGTTTTCTCTTCCGGTGGTTTTTTTTATCCCTCTTCCTCATAATAATAATTTTTTATTTTTTATTCCCTCTATTTTTTTTTACTGTCATGGATTGTTAAAGATAAACGTCGTATGCAAAACACAGGAGACTAAAAATAAAAAATAATTATAATCAGGAAGAGGAGAAGGAGTGATAAAAAAAAATAACCGGAAGAGAAAACCAAAAAAAAAAAAGTGTTTTAGGTGTTATACATGTTAGTAAACTTTTTTTATTAAATAGCTAATTGATACGTGATAATGAGATAATATATTTAGCAAAAAGAGGTTTCATATAATTTTTTATTTTTTCAATATATAAATTACGATAATATGTTACACAAATTTGAACAATAAAATGTCAATTAACGGGCCAGAGCCCACATAATTACGTTTAATGGGCAATATATTTTAAATTGGTAAAACATAAACCCGGCCCATCTATCATTACATGATATATCCCAAGTTTGGGCCGTTTCGTTTTTATGACATGATGGAATGCGAATAAATACATACTACGTGCATATCTATATATATATATATATATATATATATATATATAATATTAATTTCGGCTAAGCTTGTTGTAAGGCGAAAATCCCCCTCATGGATTGTTAATATTAATAAACCAATATAAAATATGAATACTAAATGTATCAAGATGATAAAAGATTGCAATTAAATTAAAACAAAAAAAATATAATGATTGTGATCAAAACATAGTTTTATAATACTCAACGAGATTACAAATTCCACGAACAAGATCAATTAAAGATCCGACAAGAAAAATCGATATAATATTTTCGTAAAATAAACTTTGTATTTCTAACATTATTCGGACATATATATATATATGTAATCATACAAACTCTGTTGGCCTACTAGTAATTAGTAACCACTAAAAGTTGTAGGAATTGTCCAAATTAATACATTAACCAATTAAATTGTCCAATATATAACTAAATGTAATCGAGAATTTTCATGCTTATCCAGTAAGTTTTTGTGTGTGCCCGTACATATCCACAAAAATAACGTGAAAAAAAAAAGAAGAAATGTACTTGGACCGAGCAGCACAAGGAGACAGATATGCCTTTTCAATGCCCAAAAAGGTGTATATACGTATACACATACACGTGCTAATGCACGTGTGTATCTATTTGTACGCACGTATATATATATATATATGTTATTGTTCTCAAACGGCGAGCGCGACAAACATGCCGATTACGGCCTTTCAATGCATATCCTTAACTCTCGAAGAGCTTCTGGGTTTTGTTTTAATAAATGAAAATGAGACAACTTTGATATCTCATCATTATTAGAAGATCCCCGCTTGTTATTTTGATGTATTCTTTGGATTAATTTCATAATCCCAACTTTATTTGAGATCGATCGCATGAAACCTACGTTTTTACCCATTTTGATTTGAAATTAAATATTTCGAAATTTGCAAAAATTTCAAATTATTTCTAATGGATCTCCACCTCCTTGTAATGATATCATCGAGCATGTACGTATTTGTTTGAAGATGGCAATGTTAGTGCTATCTAGTTTGCATGAAGAATGAAATAAATAAATAAATAAGGTTATTAATTCGGGAAGAGTTTGAACATGGAATTCAATGCAGATTAGAGTGTCATATATATATATATATATATATATAATATATTCATTCTCAAGGCAATCTTCTGCTGCTCTATAGATCCGTAGGTACCTACTATCAGCTTCAAAGCCATGCACATATGTTCTTTGCTTCCATCTTGTCATTTCCCATGCATTTTTTTCATAAAAATATATTTACACCCGTATTTATATATATATATTCACACACCTCGAAAATACCCGAAAAAAAATGCTGAAACAAATATTTTCTTGTTGTCCGACATTTTTGCACATCCTTATTATTGTTATTATTAAACTAAAGAAAGTATTTCTTACATTCACTTTGGGCGGGCTTGCTAATAGAAAGGCGTTATAACAAAAACCTATATATAATTCGGTTTTTATTTCATCTAACCCCTTATAATTCACAGTGCATTCCTAATATAATATACATAGAAAACGTTTTTTTTTTAAATTTTTTTACAAGTTATTGTGAATATTAGTTAGTTTTTGAATTATTTAATTCAATTTAATGGGATGTTATATTATTAAATATTTAGGCTAATTAAAAAATGATCTATTATCAGTGGGCATGTCAGATCAGTAGAGGCGACAAAGATATCGACTTATATGGGGGCTGGCTAGTGTTACAAAAACATGAAGAGGCAGGACGGTTCGGCTCCAAGTTGTCGTGATATAAAAGAGAGGGTGCAACAATTTCCAAGGCAAAGCAGGCTTCAAATAGGCTAAGGCACAAATCCAACCAGCTTTATTTTGCCGCCCTATTAACGTCCGTATTTATCCTTACTGTCTCTTTCATTCCCAATAACACATACTCACCCATCGTCATTTCTATCTTCTTCAATTTTAATTTTAATTTCAATCCCTATATTTTTCCTTATTTTTTGAATTGCTCCACCTCATTATATACTGTAACACCCTAACAGAGAGTAATGGTGTCTCTTTCTCTATCACTACACAATATATGCAGGAGGAAAACGACAACAGTTATCTTTTAACCTTATAGTAGTCGATTTATTTCCAATCATTTAATTATATTTTCTTCTCTGTTTCTTAAAATTTCCATGTTCTTTTTTTTTTCTTCTAAAAATTTCCATATTCTTTTACCAATATCTAGCCGCTAAACGCCATGTTTTCAGAGTCTATAGCTCAAAAAACGACACGCAAGTCATGCCTCTCTCTCTCTCTCTCTCTCTCTCTCTCTCAAGCATTGACTATGTTATATATGTATACATGTAAATATATGCATCTCCCTCTCACTATAAAACTCCATGCAAACCACATGCAAAGAAACCCTAAAGCCCTGAATATCACCACCCATGGATCGTCAAAACCAGACACCGAACATGGAAACCGAAGGAAACTCAGGTAGTTCGAGGTGGAACCCGACAAAGGAACAGATAACTATTCTGGAGAATCTGTACAAGCAGGGGATTAGGACCCCGAGCGCCGATCAGATACAGCACATCACCGGTAGACTCCGCGCGTACGGTCACATCGAGGGTAAAAACGTCTTCTACTGGTTCCAGAACCACAAGGCTAGGCAGCGCCAGAAGCAGAAACAGGAGAGCATCGCTTACTTCAACCGCCTCATTCACAAAACCTCCCGTTTTTTCTACCCTCCTCTTTGCTCAAACGGCACGTAGTTCTCCTCTCCCCTCTTCTCAAATTCCCAAATCTTCATTTTTCCTAATCTTTCTGTTTTCCATGCTTAATACGAATATATATACTTTATTATATCATTCATATATGCCCACGTGTGTAAGGTTTTCTATTGTTTAGACTTGGACCGTTTTTGTTTTCGTATTGCGTTATTTTGTTTCACGTGCATGTATATGACATAAGGTTTTTCATTAGGGTTTAACCCTACTTCTTACGTATTAGGTTTAGGTCACGATACACATATTAATAACTTGCCTATTGCTGCTGTCTTTCTCTAACGTTGGGTCATAAACATTATAATGATTGCAAAGTAAATTCTTCTTTTATGGGTAAAATCTTATTGATTATAATTTTTTTTTGGTTATTTAAATTTGAAGTGGTATGTGGAAGTCCACATCATATACAACAACAACAACAACAAGGTGACTTCAAAGGTGCATTCACTCAGCCGAACAAAGCGACGATCACCGGAGGGTACCGGCTAAGGACAAGCTCCGATCACAAAAAACCAGACACGTCGTCAAGATTGTCCTGTTCTGCCCGATTTGCCCTCGATAATCTACGTGATCTCGGCCACCGATACGAGAGTATTAACGTAAATCCACACGATGATTCCGGCGTCACGTGCCAGAAAACGCTGCCCCTTTTCCCCCTTCAGCCGTCTGATTCGTCGCCAGGCGACGCCTCCGGTGTTGAAAATTACAATTCAGATTTCGTTTTCCTTGTGCTGTTTCAGGTTGAGAGTATTGTCCTGAGTGTCATATCAATGCTCTCCAGTCCTAACGATGAATCCCCTGGTGGAGCCCCGCCGTACTATGATTTCTTCTCTGGTTCTAGTGGTTCCGGTGACGGAGGAAAGGCGTTATAACAGTGGAATCTAAGTGAAGTTAAAGTCTTGTGTTCGTTTTTTGTGGGTTATAATATTCTAAAATATAAAAAATATCTTGTTATATTTTCATCCAATAAAATAATGTTCTACATTTGACCTCTATTCAAAATCTATATGTAGTATATATATAATGTCGAGGCCACACCATTGTCATAATCCGTACAAATATCAAGATGTGTAAATCTGGTTATTAATTTTATATTGTTTAAGATTAAATTTGGAGTTTAACGTTTTAAGGTAGCAAACTAGCAAGAGTGTTGTAAATTTGATTATGAAAATTTTTAAATTTTTTTACAAGTTATTGTGAATATTAGTTAGTTTTTGAATTATTTAATTCAATTTAATGGGATGTTATATTATTAAATATTTAGGCTAATTAAAAAATGATCTATTATCAGTGGGCATGTCAGATCAGTAGAGGCGACAAAGATATCGACTCAGAAGGCATTCATTTCAACGTTGACCGTGACATTATTCAATTTCTAAATTCCTAGATTTTATGTAATTCCAATTATCCTTCTTTTTGTTGAAATTTTAAAAAAATATTCGAAGAATGTAAAAAATATCGATATTATCCTAATCGAAAATGTATAGGATTTGTTTGATGTTTAATTGAAACAGTGCTACTCCGGCCCTTTCCCGTCCGTGAGGTCTGGCGAGATCCTTCGATTCCCTCTCTCCGGTCTCTTCTCTGATCGGAATCTACCGAGTTTCCGGCGAATCGGATTCTTCCTCCGCCTTCAGACGCCGCCGCTCCGTCGAGGAGCCGATGCCTTTTTCCGGCGATCATTGGGATCCGCTGCTAAGGTTCGTCTGACCTGTAATCGTCAGTCGTCGTTTTATGTTCTTGCCTCATATCCTAGATTTTTCCATTGATCTGTGTGCAAGAATGCGAGATCCATACATTTAATTTGATTGTCATCGAGATGATCCTGTGCATTGGTTCTTATGCGGTGCGCTGTTTTCTGGAGATTCTTCGAAAACTTTTCATATAGAAGTGGGAGAAATTGGGCAAATCACGATCGATTTTACTGTTTGGAGTGCAAACGATTATGTTGAAAGAACTTGATTTCTGGCTGTAGCCAACGGTTTGAGGAAAAATAACCATTTGGATACACCTATTCCTAACAAGGTATCAATCTATTTAGACGGGAAATCCAATTCTTTGTCTGCTCGTACAGGATCGAACTCTTTTGGGTGCCTTTGCTGAAAGCAATTTGTTTTGGTAGAAGCTGGACATGCAAAAGTGTTCTCGAGTTTGAGGATTAGAAGAGCAATAAGAGAGGGCTCTTGAAATGGTGTAGGGTTCGAGGATGAGCTGATAAGGTTTCGGAAGTCGAAAGGAGCCATCAATCTACTGATCTGAGGTGAGCCTGATTTCTCAGATTATATGTTTGGCCCGCCTTATAAACTTAAAAACACTCTTCACCATCTCTTTTGATCGTAGAAACTGATTGTCCTTCATCGATTTGCCACTCTATTAGCATGATCCCTAAGTTATTCTTCTGTGATAGTTTCCTAGATTGAATCTAGTTTAACAGAAAAAAGTAGACACTCAAGAGGTATATATAGGCTTCAGACATCAACTCTGTGTAGAGGCTGCATCACTTCTTATTACATACCACAAGAACAAATTAAACTCTCTTTCTCTTTGCCTCCCAAGATTTATCCCGTGACTCCCTCACCCCCAATGGTTGTGCTGAAATAGTTGTCTTTGATTGTCTCACGGTTTGGCTGGCGGGTGGTGATTTCCAACCGGGTTAGGTCCTGATGGGTTCTTGTGCAATGTCTTTCCTTCAACCTATTGCCATAATCTGACACGTTTAGGCTGTAATGATAAGTAAACAACGTAATTTACACATGCATGAATGCATTTCTACTCACCCAAGTTGGCAACACTCTTTCTTTAATGGATTTAACAGTATGTATATGCTATATATGATTTTACAGTGATTTACAACAATTGAAAATTTCTGTTACCGCATTTTTCTTCGCACTCTTTCAAGTCGTGACCTTTTGCGGGTCTGTGCAGGTTCTTCAATCTTGGCATGGACTGGTTACAGCAAAGACAGGTAAGTTCGTGAAAACGATAAAAGAAAATCTAATGGAGAGGGGGAGGGGGAGAGAGAGAGAATATGATGTTGCCTGCTTTTTTCGACGGAGCCATGAATCTGCAGACGCTACATCTTGGAGCCGAGAGCAAGAGGCATAAGAGGAGAAAGTGGATGAGGACCTGTCTTCTCATCATCATGTGCTTGTCGAGGTTGTGAATACTGTCGGGGTAATATACTGAAAGCTTAGTGAGGTTTATCTATGGGCACATCATTATATACAAAGATGAAACAACCCTTTTGTCATATGGCTAACGTATTTTCAAAGAACCATAATGATTACTAATCTTGAAAACAACCAGGTGAGATGCTTGAAGATTTCGTTTCCTGGAATCCAATGCCCTTATATGTATAAGTAAAATGCCTGTAAATACGTTCTTATAGTTCTTTGTCGTTTATTTTTGCAGCCAGCTCATTTGCTTCAGCCTTCACCGTCCTGAAACTTTGGTAAGCCACCGACCCCAAAACATTAAATCCTTTGGTTCTCGGAACTGAACTGTCATATACTTAATCCCGTTCTTCGAGTCTAAATCACGATATACTCATAAATATCACCATTTTTGAGTGAGATTAACCTTGATGAGCACCTATGAATAGTTGCATTGAGAATTAACTATCATCGTTTTATCGTTTAGTTTTTATTTTCTTTCCGTAGGTTGGTGTATCCAGGAGGAGGAGGTATCCGCACGCATTGCAGGCAGGGGCCATGGAGGGGATTCCGAATCTTGGCGACATACTCATCGTGAGTTGACTTCTTCTCTCGTCATCATTTCCTAGTTATCAATTGATCCATGATAGAATTTTGCTACCTACCCTTTTTGTCTTTCATTATGATGGTGATGATGATGATGATGATGGGTTTTTTGCTCTTTAACCTTGTCGGCTCTCGTTTTTATAGTCCCACCATTTTTTTTCAAGCCGAAATATCTCTTGTCGTGTAATTGGATACGATAAGATTGGATGAAATGGATGGAATATACGGAGATGTTTTGGATACATGTGATTGAGTGTAAGTTAGGTGATTTATTATATTATATGTGCTCAATGTGACATTTTTTAAGATCGTATAGGTAAGTTTTCGTTACAAAAGAATATTCAAAAGTCCTAAAATTAGGACAATGTGGTAGATTTTATTTGTGCTTGATTTTCTTGCGTTTGTGCTGGGGGTCTTGCAAGGTACCAATAAATAAATAAATAAATAAATAAAGACGTACTGATTCATTATCTTTACCCCGTGTGGGGTTATGATGACTACGTATTTGTTAGATTTCAGATTCGAATTCTCGAATATTTTATCTCGAATATATCATTCATACAAATAATATCTAATTTTTGTTGGAATTCGATTTTTATTTAGGGTAGTCCAAGCTGTGACTGAGCATTCTGATGCAAGGGGATGGACCGCAGGCCTGTCTTGTATGGGCTTGTGGAGGTCCACACATTTTACTTTTTTCTGACTTTAGCACAATTAACAGCGGGCCCATTTCATAGCCCAAATCCCAAGCAATTCCCCATCCATTTTTTTAAAAATGAAATGTTAAACGTTTAATTCCACGTAAACTTTGATTTAATGCGGAGGATCATTACTAACCCACCACCATTTTATTTTCATTATGACTTTTTATTTTCTAAAAAAACCGTAATTTTCTGTGTGATAATTTTGAGGCAATGTTTTTTATTAATTTTGATTAACAAATGGCGGATACGATTTTAGATTATATAATGACCAAAGGAAAGGGAACTATTTGCATTTTATTATGAAAATCATATAATATAATAAGTACCATTTTACATGTGAAAAACTGTACAAGTTAACTGAAATCTATAGGAACACAATTCCTCAAACAAATTCGACTATAAGAGGAGATGTCGACATGATATTCTCTTACTTTACCAAAAAAAATTACCCTTTGTTTAAATGGAAAATAAAAAACATGATGTGGTTGTTTTAGGCCAAAGTCTCGCAATACTATTGGTGGATGTGGCAAATTAAACATGGACTCGTCCGTAGCAGATCAGTTCCAATGTTTTCCACCCTGATGCCCGAAAATCCCAATTCCGATCTTTCAGTACCTTCTATCTATATAATATAACCTCCATTTTAGAATCTCTCTCTCTCTCTCTCTCTCTCTCTCTCTCTCTCTCTCAGATCACTGGAAGCTTCAGCTGAATTTTCATCATCCGCCATGGCTTCCCAAGCGAGCCTTCTTCTCCAGAAGCAGCTCAGGGGTAAATACACACAAACCCTCGTTTTTGTTGCGACAAATCTGTTAGGTTCATATTCCATAGAGGCGGGCTTTTCGAGTTTTTGATTGGATTTTGCCTTCTCTGGGTTTTATTTCAGATCTTTGTAAGAATCCGGTTGATGGGTTTTCTGCTGGGTTGGTTGACGAGAGCAATGTATTCGAATGGAGCGTTACGATTATCGGACCTCCTGACACACTCTAGTATGTTCCCCTGATTCTCTTCCATCCTAGATCTCGTCCCTTTCGTCAGAATTCGATGTCTGTCTGGTCTTATCTCGATGATTATCAATTGGGCATGTTGATTTTTGCCGAAATTTGTTGATTTGTGGAACGAGCATTGGCAATGCTCGATAAATGATGCTTAAGTTATCTCATTGATGATGATGCCGGGATTCGATCATTGCGGGTCATGTGATCATAGGATTTCGTGTTCCCTTTCTTGGTTTCACCATATGCTGGACTTGTCTTTCTCTACAAGTATTCAAATTTAGTGTTCTTAAGGAATTATGATGTTCTTAACTCAGCCTTGTCTTGATGCTTTTGTTAACAAATTCAGTTAGTGTTTTATAGTCGTTACCAAATAGTGAAAAAGTTCTAATCCTAAATGCAGCGAAGGGGGATTCTTCAATGCCATAATGTCCTTCCCACAAAACTACCCCAATAGCCCGCCGACTGTGAGGTTTACCTCGGATATTTGGCATCCTAACGGTGTGTCCATTCTCTCCGACCTTGCCCTTTTCCGGGATAGGATTGCAGATACAAAGTACAATATGATATATTCACTCCTTTGTGGATTGTTTCCTCATCCGTGCAGTTTATCAGGATGGCCGCGTTTGCATATCTATTCTCCATCCTCCTGGTGATGATCCCAGTGGTTATGAGCTTGCGAGTGAGAGATGGACGCCTGTTCACACAGTATGTCTGGGCTAGTTTCTCTGGGTGTATATATATATGGTCTTGTTTCATTGCGAATAATCTTCAAACTAGATCATTGATATGTGTTTTCCCGAATTCAGATTTCGTTTTCCTTGTGCTGTTTCAGGTTGAGAGTATTGTCCTGAGTGTCATATCAATGCTCTCCAGTCCTAACGATGAATCCCCGGCAAATGTTGAAGCCGCTGTGAGTATTTTCTGTTCATTAAGCTCTGTGGAATTCTCTCGTTATTCCTTCCGACACTCACTTCCTCTGAAACGTGAGAACCGTTCAATATGTAGTAACTCTGCTCGATCATCATTCTGTCTTTGTCGTTTTGCAGAAAGAATGGAGAGAGAAGCGAGACGAGTTCAAGAAGAAAGTGAGTCGCTGTGTCAGAAAGTCCCAGGAAATGCTATGATTCTCAGATCCATGATCTCAGGAAGTTCCGAGTTCATTATCCTGTCTGAAACGTTACTTGTAATGGACTCTCTCTTACATCTATCGCATTCCAAAACACGGGAGGGCCCCTCCCAAGAGTCAAAGTGTTTTTGAAGGAAGAAGAGATATTACTATCATATAACCTTTCTGGTGAGAAGCTTTGTTCTGTGATTTATGCTGTTTGATGTCGTTTCAGTTTTGGACTCCAGAACTGTGTGCCGTTTCTGAGCAGCACCATGTATTTTCTCCTGGGCCCCTATTGGGCCTCAATGTCTGCCTAATAGACTTTTTGGATCCCATGCACGGCGTCGTTTCTACTGTATTCTTTCGGCCCAACGTCATTCATTTGAAATTGTCTGGCCCTACAAAATCCACGTCAGCTTAACATTATGGGCCTATATATAGCCCACTTACGAACGGCCCATTAAAGAGCGGAAATTTGCCCGGACAACGATTCGGTTACAGAATAATAATATCTGATTTTGTAGTCTTGGACTGTTTCGGTTTTGCTTTCCCCATCCCTTCAACACGTGCAATGATAACAAACATGCATATATATATATATATATATACACACAAATCAGGAGTCATTAAAGAACTCGTTAAATCAAACGTTGTCGTGATCAAGCAACTAACACCAAATTGGTTTTATTTTTTCCCGTGTGTTTTAACTTTTAGGTCTCTATGTTCTGCCTGGATAAGGAATTAAATTAATTAATAAATTCGATTGAATTTCGATTATTTGTAATTTTGGAGGAGAGGTTGTTCCGACACTTGCGACTATAAGTAGACAACAACATCTCGCTCTTCCCACTTCTCATCAGATCAGAAGATTTGGTTAGGGTTCCGACCGACTGTCTTATTTATCGATTCAAGCTTCTTATAAATTCTCTTTCCCCCTTCTCCGATCGAAATTCTCAGTTTTCCCGTCAGAAAATTCTCTTTTCCGCAAAAAAAAAAATATGCGTTTTTTTTTGGTAAAATGTTTTTTTTCCCTCTCTGTAGAGTTTGATTTGACGACTGATTGGTAAATCCAGGGATTTGGGTTCTCAACAATGGCGACAAACGGACAGAGCAGCACGAAGCCTCCACCCACTCCTTCTCCTCTGCGTAATTCCAAGTTCTGTCAGGTGATTTTCCCCAAATTCTTGTGGAGATTCGACGTAAATCTGAGATTTTTATTCATCTTTTTTTATATCCTTTTATGTTTTACGTGTGATCGTAAACTGTTCATGCCTCGAATCTCGTTTTTCGGGCAAGAGATTTAGCTTTTACTTGATGAACCGTGAATGAGGTTTTGCGTTTTAGTTCCACAACTAACCAGAAAAAACACTGAAGTCGCTTATAGAATCCGTTCTACATTGTGCATATGTTTGGTCTGATGGTTCTATGTCTTTTTTAATGGCGGATCTTGTGGTGAGAAATCTGTATTTACCTCATCTCTTTGGCATTGTACGCAATTTAACTTCTGGGTCTGGCGATGGTTTCGTAGAAACGTAGATTGGGGAGAGATTGGATCTTAGCCGTTCCATTTAGGCCTGCCTTAGTCATGATCTGTAATCTTTTTGGCCTTTGTTTAGGTTAGCATCAAAGGGCCAGCCTCGTCATTTAACCATAGAAAACTTGCTGATGCAACGGGATGGTACTGGATCAGATCTTGAAATCATACTTTGATCCACTTTCTTGTTAGTTTAACTGGAAGATGAAGATATTCCGACCTGTCCCACCCACATGAGGAAACAGATGTATAGAACTTGGATTTGATGCACTTGTCTTTTCTTGTCGATGCAGTCGAATATGAGGATCTTGATTTCTGGAGGAGCTGGATTCATCGGCTCTCACCTCGTCGATAAGCTGATGGAGAACGAGAAAAACGAGGTCTGGATGAATCGAGATGTTACTGTTCTTTGTGACATCTGCTGAATTGCCGGTGAAACTTTGTTTTGTTTTGGTTTGGTTTTATGTCAGGTAATTGTTGCTGACAACTATTTCACTGGGTCAAAGGACAACCTCAGAAAGTGGATTGGCCATCCAAGATTTGAGCTTATCCGACATGGTATATATGTTCGTGAGACTGTCCGTATGGCTTCGTTATGTAAGTGAGGTTTATTAACGTCATCATCCGCTCTGTCTTATTTATGGCGTCAAATAGATGTAACGGAGCCATTGTTGATCGAGGTTGACCAGATTTACCACCTTGCATGTCCTGCTTCTCCTATCTTCTACAAGTACAACCCGGTTAAGGTACATTTATGTTTTTATAGATTTGTCTGATCAGATAATATTAATATCCGATCTCTGTTATCGAGAATTTCGTCTAAACTTGTATGGCTTCTATTTTTTTTTTTTACGATAATAACAGACGATTAAGACAAATGTGATCGGAACACTGAACATGTTAGGTCTTGCTAAGCGTGTCGGAGCAAGGTCTGGCTTTGAGGGATTCGTTTTCAAACTATTTTTGTTTGCCTTTTTTTGCCTTTTGGCTATGTGATTTAAGCTTTTTTAGTTTTTAAATTAAAAACAGGATATTGCTTACATCGACCTCGGAGGTGTATGGAGATCCTCTCATCCACCCGCAGCCCGAAAGCTACTGGGGCAACGTCAATCCTATTGGTATTTTGTTCTTATGGTCTTTTGTTTCTTTAATCTCCTCCCCGTCGTGGTTTTTAGCCTAGGGTTGGACATTCGGTTCGGTTATGCATGAAGCGAACCGGATCTCATATATAACCGAATGTGTATGATTTTCCTATAACAGAAAATTTCATAGTAAATGATCTTTTTTTGTCGTGATCAAGAAGTGATAAATTAATGTGAGATAGGGGTTCGGAGCTGCTACGATGAAGGGAAGCGTGTGGCAGAGACATTGATGTTTGATTACCACAGGCAGCATGGAATCGGTCAGTCACGTTTCTACTTCTCCTTCTCTACCTTTCTCCGTAATAAGGAGGAAACTTGAACTGAGCGAGGACCCGGCCTCGCACTTGCTCATAGAGCTCGGGTTCCCTTATTTCGGTGGATACCCATGGGACCCAAATGTATGGGACCAGCCCTAACTTCAAGGATCTCTATCGTCTTCCTGTGCTGTAGAAATACGGATTGCGAGAATATTCAACACGTATGGACCTCGTATGAACATCGACGACGGACGTGTCGTTAGCAACTTCATCGCTCAAGCACTCAGGTTTTCATGAGTCCTTTCCCTCCAAAACAACCTTTGCTGTCTTTGTATTGTGTAAAACACCTCTCCTCTTGTCTTGTCTTTTGTTGCTCTATGCATGTGAATGTGTAGGGGCGAGCCTTTGACTGTTCAGAAGCCCGGTACTCAGACTCGCAGTTTCTGTTACGTTTCCGACATGGTATTAGTACACATCCTTCCCAAAAAAAAAACTTTTTTTTTGTATTGAGATACATTGAAGTAAAAACTCGTTTCTGTCTTGACAAAAAAAAAACCCTCCTCGAAGGTAGATGGGCTTATCCGTCTGATGGAAGGGGAGGACACCGGCCCCATCAACATCGGTAACCCTGGTCGGTATTCCAAACATCCCTTACCCCATGCAATCCCCTCTATTCAGACACAGAATCCGATCTCCTTAACTCAAACACTGTCTTGTTTTTTATTCCTCAGGCGAATTCACCATGCTGGAGCTCGCTGAGACGGTGAAAGAGGTTAGTTAGTCTCTTTGCGATGAAATGGCTGCTACTTACCGGGTTTTTTGGTTGGTTCTGACGATGCTGGTTTACACGTTAACGCAGCTGATAAACCCGAGCATAGAGATAAAGATGGTGGAGAACACGCCCGATGACCCGAGGCAGAGGAAACCGGACATCACGAAAGCGAAGCAAGTGTTGGGGTGGGAGCCCAAGGTTAAGCTCCGGGAAGGGCTTCCTCTGATGGAAGATGACTTCAGAGTTAGGCTCGGCGTCCGGAAGTAATAAAGAACAAAAAAAAATGGCATGAAACATTGTATGGATTCTCTTCTTCTGAGCCAGACAAGGAACTTTGAGCTTCCAATGTCTTAAAAGCGTTGGTTTCATGTTCCATGTCCTTTTTAATGTTGTTATATGGTTTACTAGCTTTTGCCCATTAAGATTTTGCAGAAACGATGAATAAGATTTTTTTTTGGGCATTCGCAAATGAAACATTGCACATTACCCCCCTACAAGTAGGGGTGGACGTTTCGGAAAACGGTTCGGGTTCGGGACGGAATTAATCGGTTCGGTTCTTTCGGTTTTACAAAAATAGGTACCAATCAGGTTTTTTATTGTATTCGGTTCGGTTTCGGTATCGGTTCGGTTCCGGATTTTATTAAAAAAATGATAGATTTCCTTTAAAAATATTCGGTTTTTCAGGATTTTTAAAGTTCGGTTCGGTTGCGGGAAAATTCGGTTATCTAAAAATGGTACCGTTCGGAAAATAATAGCGGTTTCGGATCGGAAAAAATACCGTTTTAACGGTTCGGTTTGGTCCGGTTACGAAGAACCGAACCGAAACGCCCACCCCTACCTACAAGTAGCAAATGGGGAAGAGGGCAAAATCCATTTCAAACACATGGGGGGAGAAAACCCAATTGCCATAGTAGAATTTGCTTCACATTCTTCAGTTCAAAATTAACAAAAAGAGTAAAATAAAATCTCGGGAGAAAACAGAAAGAGTATCTAGGTGTGCTCTTTCATGTTATTGAATAAAAGCTGGAGTGCTGAAACACCCTCTTCTCTTTCCCGGAAAGGCTCACTTCTCCCTTAATGCTTATCCCTGAAACGGCATGAAAGGGGCATAGACCAGAATGAGTTTTGGGGATGATAACTTATAGCTATTACCCGAATCATATTCGATGATAAAGAGAAACATTTACGAATATGTCTTGACACTGAAAATGCAAACCCACTTCATGAGATTCAAGCACACTGGCGTATGTCTCTGCTAAACATTTCTACCCTCCAGTTCAAACACAACATAACCAGACCTTTGACTCGTTATGCATCAGGCAGCAGAAGCAAGAGAACGCCTATGGGTCGAGAAACATATGCCAGAGGAGGATTCAGAGATGGGTTTATCAGGTTTCAGAATTGGGATAATGCATCCGGGCACATCCAAATGAACACTCATCTTATCAGGTGGTCTTCGAATGTGAAAAACATACACATTCACAAAACAACCTAAATACGTCAAGCACCATTCGACCACCACGTTGTTTCGAACTACTCTTTTAAGATCGGATCGGTTTACAGAGAACGATCGCGGATTACCATTGACATGGGGAAAAAATCAGAAATCCGAGAGTTGTAATTGATCAAGTGGGTAAGACATTACCTCCTGTGAAGCTGGACGAACTTCGAGTTCTTCGCGTCTTCCTCTGCATATCATTGGCATTTAAACAATTAGGGTTCCACGATCGCCGATCCAACAGCATACACAAGACATCAGACAATAGATCCGACATAAGCACAATACGAGTACATAAACACCGATCGATGAGAAGAAATTTAGCCGAGTTTTTAGGAATCGATCGGATCCGACGACCTACCGGTGAGTCCAGCAGTGAACTTAGTGATGATGGCTCCAGTGACGGCGAAACCCGTGATGAACGGCCAACAACGCTTCCATTCCCTCTTGAAGAATACCGGCCATGGATCGAACAGCCTCATCTCTCTCTCTCCTCTCTCTCCGATGCGGCTGCGCTCTTCCAAGAGGTTTCCTTGTCTCCTAACTTTGGTGAGGGTTGGATCTGAACCCGCTTCGCATAAGAGTTGCTTCACATGGGCCGAACAATAAGAAATTATAATAATGGGCCTTACATGAACCTTTCCCGGCCCAAACTTGTGTATCATGGTAATCACGTGCGCCGCGCGTGCGTATTTACCGTGAAACTTTTGTGCACTTGGCAAAATAAATTCCCGTTTCCATTGCATTTGCAGAATTCGGTTAGTCGTGTTAAGTGTTAACCGTAATCGATTATAATTCAACATAAAAGTTGAACAGTTATAACTTTTTTAAATTTGAAAAAATAGAATTCGAACAAAATCAAATAAAAAATAACAAAAAACTGATTTTTTTTTTCTTAAAATAATTTTTTTATCAATAAAAAATCGCACATAAAGCTAAGAAATTCGTATACCAAACGAACAGAACCGAAATTGATATAGAAACCGAATGATTATAGTGTTTTATAATCGAAATAACCGAATCCGAAGCGAAACCCGAGATGACAACCGGTAGTGTACATAAAAAAAATCAGTACAGAGTTCGATTTTGAATCCGAAATTGAAATCAATAAAGACGATTCAAGAGCATCTTTAGATTCTGTAACACTTACACTGCAATGAAACAAATACCAAGGAAATAAACAAGCTTCAGAAAAAAAAAACATCAATCATTGTGCAAAAACCTCAAAGGGGGAAAGAAAGAAAAAAACTTTATCCAGTTTTCGATACTGGGTGGGTTTCTTCGATTATCCCATGCTCCTCACAGTTAATAATGTACACAAAGAACAAGAACGAGTGTACGAAATCCAATCTCCTCCACTCTTTCGGACAAAAAAACCTCAAATCTTTCGTTTTCCAGACAATTTCCCAGTTGCAAGAATCGATCAATCTATCTTCCTTCGGATTTCACCAGCTGTGAGAAAACCTTACTCATGGAGACACCCGAGAGATCGTCGATGTTTGATTCCTCTGACTGCCCTGCCGCCGGAACGTTAACGCTCGTGTCTCCGTGGCTGAAATTGTTAATCTGAGGAGGCAACTCTCCGATCATGTTCGTACTGTTCTCTTCAGGGTCGCCGCCATCAGTGGCTGCTTCCTGTAGCTGCAACGAGTATTCGAGATTCCACAACACGTCTCCCATGGCGGGCCTATCAATTCCAAAGTCAGCCAAGCATTTCTCCGCTGTTTCCGCAAACTTCCTGAGAGAATCGGGTCTGATCTTCCCCCGGAGTGATTGATCGATGATCTGTTCCAACTGTCCCTTGTTCTGCCATTTCATCGCCCACTCGGCAAGATTCACCATTTCTCTCGGAAGTGTCGGGTCTATGACCGGTCTTGCGCACAGAACCTCGAACAGAACGACCCCGAAAGAATACACATCCGATTTCTCCGTGAGCTGTTGCCTTCGGAAATACTCCGGGTCGAGATATCCAAAACTTCCCTTTACAGCCGTACTCACGTGGGTCTGATCGATCTCGGGTCCAGTCTTTGACAATCCAAAGTCTGCGACTTTAGCCATGAGATTCTCATCCAGCAATATATTCGCGGATTTCACGTCTCTGTGAATGACAGCTTTTGAATAACCGGTGTGAAGGTAATGCAACCCTCTAGCCGATCCAATGCAAATCTCAAGCCGCTGCTTCCAAGTCAAGCTAGGAAGGCCCGAGCCATAAAGATGGCTCTTTAACGTTCCGTTCTCCATGTACTCGTAAACCAGAATCATCTCATTGTTTTCGTCACAGTATCCGATCAGAGAAACCAAATGACGGTGGCGAAACTGAGACAGCAACTCGATTTCTGTCCTGAACTCAGCAAGCCCTTGCTGAGACTTGGGGTTTCCTCTTTTGACAGCAACTTTCGTTCCATCGTTCAGCTCTCCCTTGTAAACTTTGCCAAAGCCACCTATCCCGATAACCCGGCTCTCGTCGAAGTTATTGGTGGCCTCTTTAACCGCCGCAAAGGGAATTCGGTATCCTACGTTGGAAGTTATACTTGCGAGTGTAGTTCCATTTGAGTATCCACTTCCCATTGTAGCTGAAGTTGCAGTTGTAGACAGAGGAATCCATGTCTTTGAATGAGCATCTTGTCCATGGCCATGCCTCCTCCTTTTCCTGTACAACACAAAGATACCTCCCAAAACCAGAAATGCAAGTAAAGGGCCAACAGTTGCGCCGACGATTAAACCGACATTCTTCTTAGTGCTTGAACTACTTGGCACAAATGTCCCGCCACTGAGCTGACCCATCGAGTTATTCACCTTCATGATCTCTAATCCATTCATGATGGCGTTCGGATAATCGGTGTGAACAGTTGACGGACCAATGCTCACACGAATCTTGTTACTGCCCTTGGGGGATTGAGTCACGTAATCCATGAAGTAAGCACCGGCCAGATTGTTGGACAAATAAACGCTCAGATCAAGATCTTCAACCACAGACTTGGAGTCGACGTAAAGATTGAAGTAGAGCTGGTCCAGAGACAAACTCACGATATCGCAGAGATGAAAACGGAGGAAGTACTGGAAACCCGGATCAACATCGAACACCCACGTGATGTTGAAAATGCTATTCGGGTTATCTGCCGAGTTCATCTCCGTGCAGGTTCCATAGACAGATCTTGGTGCAGTATCCTCGGTCGCATAACCCGGGAGATACTTAACAGATTCCATCTTGGACACGCTTTTAGCAAGATTCTTCTCCAGGATGAAATCTGAATCAGACACCCAAGTTCTTGAAAGGGTATCATTATTAGGTGTGACGGCGGGTCCACCCATATTCACCCTAGCAACTGTCTCGAGGGCCTGCCATATTAAGCCCTGAAACTTCCCCGGATTTCCTATGAACATAGCATCGTCGGTGACCAACGTGTCGGGAGCAGAAACAACTTCAATCGCGTTCACAAAGGCAAAAGAATTCCCAGAGGGCGTAAAAGTGAGCACGAGCTCACCACTGGTCACATTTAGAGAGTATTCCTTCACAACTCTGGACTTCACTGTGAAATCATTGAGGAGAACATGTTTTTCTGAGGAAACGGCAAACTTGGCTGTACCCATTTGGAAGTTCTGGTAATTGAATGGATTGAAATGGAGCCGAATCCAGTGGCGGCCTGTGCGGACAGAGAAACTGTACTTTGATGCCTTTGTGAAAACTCTCGCTGTCTGGTAAATATCAGAATCTGAGTTGGTGCTACTAGCGAGGATCTCTTGTGGAGTGGTGAGGAGCTTCGAGGCTAACTTATCCGACATGAAGTCTCTACCGAGAAGCGTGGCATTGTCGGGTGATCCACAGTTGATGAGGTAATTATCCACAGGTGTGAATCCATGGCAGATGCAAATCAAGCAAGAAATCGAAGAAAGCAAAACGAAAAATCCAAACTTTTCACCACCCATCTGGACAAAACGCTGCAAATTTAAGGGAAAACAAGAGAATTTGCATGAAAAAAAGACTCGATCAGTTTAGATTTAACGGCGAGGCATAAGCAAAATTAGGGTTTTATACTCGACCAGAGAGAGAAAGAGACACAAACTGGAACATGCCAAAGATGGCAACTTTCTAAGATCAAGCAAAGGGAAAACCAACAAAAGGTACATAAGCTGATCCAACAGATAAATCAAGAAAAAAAAAACAACAACAAATATTACCTTTAAGACAAGAAATCCAGGGAAAGTAACTGTCCCATGAAGCTATAAGAAAACAGAACCAAAATTTGAGGATGAAATGATGAGCCCACCAGGAAACTGCAATCCTAAATTCTGATTCGAGAGATCAAAGCTGTATTTGGAACCAAACACAAACATGTCCAGCAAAGAACAGACTGGTTAGAAGAGGAGATGGCTTCCAGTTCCTTGTGAACCCTGCAAAGGCAGATTTTTTTAATATAAATAAACACAAAAACTGTAATATGTGCATATTTTAAATATAAATAATGAGTTTGGTGAAAAAAAAATGGCAAAAAAAATGCAGAAGAAGAATTTACCAGAAGAAAAAAAAATCAGGATCATATTAGCGCTTTTAATATGCCAAACAATTATTTTTAAAAAAAATATGGTTACCAATATCACAGGTTTTTTTTTTGTTTCAGGTGTATGTGAAAAAGTTGTAAAAAAATCGGCATTTCAATTTAAAATAAAATATTTGTAAATTCCCACAGCATTTGTCAAACAACCAGCACTACTTCCCATATTATTTATGAGAGATATGAAACGTTGAAAAGAATTTAAACAAAAAAACTAAAACCATTAATATGCATATTTTTACTTTTTTTAATATGTTTTACTAAATACAAATACGAATTGTATTAATAACAAATATATTTGAGTTTTTTTTAATGGAGACTGAAGTAAACTTTGGGTAAAAGATGTTTACAAATATATTTATGAAACATTCTATCGATATAGCTAGAGCCAATTTACGGACAATTGATTAAATTCCCATAGTTTTTATCTTTATATATATATATATATATAATAAAAATCGTCAATCTCATTACTAATTTTATTACCAACATATGAATAAAATTTTTGAATATTCGAAATTCCGAGACAGATTAAGGACAGATCTAAGATTGGGTCGAATCTTTTTGAATGATTTGGCAAACAAATGGTTACAAGATTTATACAAACGACGACGCTAACCACTCTATTTATCAAACTTTAGGGAAAATGACATGTATTATATTTATTATTACTAATCGGAATAAATAAGATAAGATGCTCTTATTGTGATGTATTTCTTTAATTAATACTCACCTAAAAGACGCCACGAGTCCCGCCGCTTAAAATGTTTAATTTTTTATTTGTCAAATACTTGCAATCTGATTGGTTTATATATTCTCTTTAATTTATCCAATATTTAAATCTGGAATTCACATGTAAAACTATAATCAACACCATTTTTAAATATATCTTTATATATATATAATATAATAAAGAACCATTTATGTCCACTGTGAAATAAAATATTATTTTCAATTTATGGCCTTTTCTTGCGTTAACGATATATATGTATATGTAAATAAATAATTCTATTTGGAAGAGAATAAAAATACTCTGGTCGGTGTCAGACTGGCAAGCACGTCTCGAGGAAATACACAAATAAAAACAATTCCGAAATAAATAAATAAATAAATAAAATTGGAAAACCTCAGGTCCTCGTGGGCTCGTTTGAATTGGGCCCATCCTCTCTACCCATATTTAAAACAAATATATGGGCTTTCTCTTTACATCATAGCACGAAACCCGCGGACAGAGGTAGAGGCTCTCCCTAAAATCTGTCTTAAAATGGGCCCCCACCCCTAGTACCCATATTTCGTTGCTGTGTTCGCGTCATCAATCATTCCAAGATTTGTAGAAGATAACAAAATGACGTTTCAAGCGTTAGAGAAAAAAACGTATACAAACACTTGCGGTCCATTAGGAAACGTCTACAAACACTTGTGGATAGATTAATGACCATTTCATTATTGATGAAATGTTACTCGACTCTTTCTCAAAACTTCAACAAGGGGGTGTATTGTACATCGCCTTCACTAACTCTTTTTTTTGGTTGCACCCTTATTCCGTATCATTTAGCATTACAAATTATGGTTTGAAAGGGACCGAGGACGACGATATATATCACTCATGAGGTACATACACATATACACATGTTGTTACCGACATTGAATCTTTGTACTTTTCATGTTTTTTGATCCGGGTTTTCTCATAAAAAGTTACATATATATAAACGCAATATATAAATATGTATTTCATTTCATATTGGATCTAAATTGCGAGATATGGCTTCACATTGGACGCTATATATGTGTTTTTGAACATGATGAATTTAGGGTTTCTCAACTGCATGGAAAGATGTCCGCTCGTCAACTAGTCCAAACAATTTGATTATACCAAAAGGGGCATACGTATTGAGTCAAGTTATTTTCGAAGGTCCATGCAAATCTCCATTAGAGTTACATGTACATGCAACCGTCAAAGTCAAAGCACCCGAAGATCCATCAGATTTTGTAGAAAAGGATGGTTGGAAATGGAACCTTCGATGGTCAAGGATCCATTGCTTGGTCTCATAATGATTGCCATGAGACTTTGCAATGCAATAAGCTTCCTATTATGAGTTCTTTTGATCTTTTTTTCCCTAAACCCTAACTTATACAACAATTTATATAGTTTTTTTTTTTGTTTTATGACAAAGAAGCTGGTTTATTTCGGCAGAACATAATGTTAAACTCCATCACAAACGGATTGATACAAAACATAACATCTTTGAACAACAAAATCTTCCACATCAATGTTCTTGAATGGACCAACTTATCATTCAGCGGAGTGAATACAAGAACCTCGGAAGATAGTCCCAACATCGACGGAATCCACATTGAACGGTCTATAAAAACATAAACATTACAGACTCGGAAATCTCTACAGGAGACAATTGCATCTCTCTTGTACATGGAAGCGAGAATGTAGTGATATAGAACGCATGAAATGCGGGCCTGTTCACGGGATTAGTGGCGGAAGCCTCGAAAAATATCTCAAAGAAGAGCTTGTTTCCGGCATCACCATCAGAAACTACACCTTATTGAACACAGATAATGGCATGAGAGTCAAAACATGGTTGAATTCATATAAAGCAATAGCCACCGGTATACATTTCTATGACATTGCGGTGGTTAACGTGAGCAATCCTATTTTGAATGAAGCTAAGCAATATCAATTTCACATATATACACGGGACATCACCGACACAAATGGCGATGAAACTGGAATGTAGTAGTGAAACAACATGCGAAAAACATCGAGATTTCAGACATTATATTGAGTACATTGGATCTGATGGAGCTTCCATACATGTCGAGTTGTGCAAAGGTTAGTCCCAAGATCTCTGGAAAACAATATCTCCCTCTCCTTGCGCTGTATCCGCCGATTCCCCTTCTTGATCTCTTTATTCACATCCAAGCTTGTCCTGATTATTCATAGACATTATATTGTTGTTGTTATTATTAGGAAGAATACTCAACTTTGTCAAAAATTACAAACTAAATATTGAATTTTTCGATTTACAAAAAATAATATAAATTATTTTCAAATTTCTATATAAAAACCGAACTCTTAAAATTTTAATATCCATGATGACGACAAACGTCTCATGTAATACCGACGGATATAGAACGTGACATCAAATATTATATCATATTAAAATAAATAAAAATAGAATGATAAAAATATATATAACCAATAGATAGTAATAAAATAGAAAAATAAATTTGTTGTATATATACGACCTAAAAAAAATTATAACCCGGGCAATAGTAATAAGTATATAATTTCGTAGAGAAAAACTTAATTTTAACACTTGACAATTTTATTTAAAATTTTATAAAAACACTTATTTTTTTTAATTAAATATATGGGACGTGACCTCATATGAGGGTCATTGTAAATCAAATAGGTTCGCCCTCGCCTGTATATATATATATATATACACATACAAATATACATAGGCATACAATAAGGTCTTATTAAAGTATTTGTGTTAGGTGCTCCATCCAAGTATCCAACATTGTACACCATTTTTTTTTATAAATTATTGGGCCTCTTCGTAATTAATAATAAAAATTTCGGCCTCCTTTTAATTGGGCCTTATATGTAAAGTTTTGGGCCCATCTACAGAACGTTCGTACGCTAATCATTATATATACATATAATTCTTTTCTAACTTTATTTATTTCTTGTTCTTTCAATCCCTTCCCTATCTTTATCTTCGTCTCCGATTTAGGGCACACAAAGAATCATAATTCTTTCACTCTATGCTTTGACTAAAGAATCTCCGGCACATCCCATTTCCTCGTCGTTTCCTGATCCATTTCTAGGGTTTCGTCTTCCCTTTTGCAAATCTTCGGTTCTTGCCAACAATATTAGGGTTTTAGGATTTGAATCGTTCTCTTGGCACCGGGTAGTGTTCTTTTGTTGTCTGGTTAGTCGATTCTCTCTCTCTCTCTCGGTGATATTCTGTGAGCATTTCATTTTCATTTCCCCTGAAATTGCTATTGATCTCGGTGGTGTGATTATGGCGGAAAGTTATTGCTTTGGTAGATTATCGTATATCTAAGAACTTTAAAAAAAAAATTATTATGCATCGTTTGGTCCGTAAGTTTCGCCCCCTTTTCCTAGTTTCTCTGGCAGGAGTTCATTTGATGGACGCTGAAACATTTTCTCTTCAATCAATGTATCGTGTGATTATTTTTGCTTGTTCTCAGTCCATTTCCATTGCTTATCGATTATATGAAGGGGGTGTCAGTCAGTGTTATGGCTATTAGGACTTAAGAAGACCTAGTTATCAGTCAACCTGTTTGATGGATATTAGGACATGTTAATTATACTGTTCTTACGAGTTTTACAATTGTTTTGACTATGTCGGTGTGTCCTTTTCAGGCTATCAGTTAGGGTGCTCAGCGTTCTGTATATTCCTTCTCGGATCATAGAAGGGTCAATTTCGGACAGGGAATGAGATTTTGTGATACGTGATTGCCAATCTTTGCGATGTCGGGCCTTCATGTATTGTCCTGAACTCTGGATTTTGTTTCCTGATGTTTTTTTTCCTGATCCTTTGTATTGCTTTTGTTCTTTAGCATATGTTCTTCTGGCTTGTTTCAACGTCCCTTGGATATTATGTGCTAAATTATGCATGAATTCTCTGATGGCAACTATTATGTACTTGGATTTTGCAGTCATCTATCGGTGGTTCAGCTTCAAATCTACCAGATGGGTCAGGGAGAGCTTTTGCGGCTTCTTACTCCAGTCAATCTGGGGCGCCCTCTCCCGCTTTCCATCATAATGGTGGGCGTTGTATTGACCCTACTATGGCCTGCTTTCTTCTGAACTTATGTGGCTTCTGCATTTTCTTCTTGCAGGCAATATTCAGGGACTTCATAATATTCATGGAAGCTATAATATTGGGAACTTGCCAGGTACACTTGCGTCGAGAAATTCAAGCATGAATATTCCATCCCCTGGGGTTCAACAACCTAGTGGAAGTATTTCTGGTGGAAGATTTCCTTCAAATAGTCTACCTGTCGCTCTCTCTCAGGTTCCTATCGCTCAAGGCCTTGTTGTTTACACAGTTGCCCTTAACTTTGTCTTATTTTGTATAATGTTGTTTTGCAGTTATCACATGGTAACTCTCATCCACATTCAGGAGTCACAGGTAGAGGAGGTATAAATGTTGTAGGAAACCCTGGATATAGTAGTAACCCAAATGGAGTTGGTGGTTCTATTCCTGGAATTCTCCCCACATCCGCAGCAATCAGTAACCGGAATGCTGTTCCAGGGTTAGGAGTATCGCAACTTATGGGAAATGCAGGTGCACGAATAACAACTTCCATGGGAAATATTGTTGGTGGAGGTAACATGGGTAGGAGTATAAGCTCTGGTAGTGGATTGTCTATTCCTGGCCTCGCTTCACGGCTAAACTTGGCACCCAACAGTGGATCAGGAATAAATATCCAGGGACAGAACCGAATGATGGGTGGAGTACTTCCACAAGGTATTTGCAACTCTTATCCAGTTTTTACTATTTACTGTTTGTTGCCATCGCCTTTTAGAGAAAAGTAGATAGAACTGAATGTTGGTTTTTCTTGGTGTTGTATTGTCTGTTTGATCGTATGGTACCAGCAATGAAACAATCTATAGTATTAATATTTTGTTTCCCGGAGTGTATCTCTTCATTGTTGTCATCATGGGTTGATCTTTTGTATTGTAAACTAGCAGCTTGATCGAAATAAACGGAAGGAATTCTACTTTGTACTGAACAAGAGACTGCACTCTGGGCTCACTTGCTCTTGGGTTTGTGTATAGTTTAATTAGTTTGACTGTTTACAGTAAAGGTCTGTATTGAATTAGTTAACAGCTGTTATATTTGGATTTTATCGTATAGATCTAATTTTGATATTGATTGATTCAGGATCCCAGGTCATGTCTATGATGGGGAACTCCTATCAGACTCCCGGTGGCCTACTTTCTCAGAACCATGTTCAGTCGGTTAACAATTTGATGCTCAATGACCATTCTAATGACAGCTCCCTTTTTGATATCAACAATGATTTTCCTCAGCTCACTAGTCGTCCTGGCTCTGCTGGTGGCGCTCAAGGACAATTGGGTAACTAACCGCTCGTTTTTCCCGGCTTAAAATTCATATATTTGTTCCCCTGGTTAACTATGATCAATACGGTTTTTAGGCTCTTTGAGGAAGCAAAGTATGGGAGTCGCCCCAATGGTCCAACAAAACCAAGAGTTCAGCATCCAAAATGAAGATTTTCCTGCTCTACCTGGATACAAAGGTGCTGGGCTTTTACTGCTTACAATCCTGCTAACGTTTACTCTGCGTCGTATGATGTTCTTGGTGCTGCATAGATATGTGCGAACTGTAGAGTGTGATCTGCATAGATATGTTCATGGTTATCTCTTTATATTCCTCAATCCCAATACTCTGTTAATGGTATTGCATTGCATCAAAAAGATGATTAATTAGGTGTTTCTGACATGTGTGGTTGTATCTGCTACAGTCTAATCCTGCTAGATCATTGACAAGCATAGTAGATCTTCTGCAGGTGGTAATCCTGATTATCCGATGGATTTGCATCAAAAAGAACAGCTCCATGACAATGCTATGTCAATGATGCAATCACAACACTTTTCTGTGAGTGTCAGTTTGTTAAGAAAAACAAGATTATATGCCACGCTAATTTGGTTTTGATCTATATGAATCTTTGGCTGTGATTTCATGTTTGGACACTTTAAATCTGCAGATGGGTAGATCTGCTGGCTTCAACTTGGGGGGAATATATTCATCTCACCGTCCACAGCAACAACAGCAGCATGCATCATCTGTGAGTGGTCTCTCTTAGAATGCTTAGACATTGATGTTTTGCAGCATTTGTTTGCCAACTCGGTTCTTTCTTTTCGGTATCAGACTGGTGTGTTGCAGGGTCTTGGACTAAGACCTGTAAACTCCCCCAATACAGTTTCCGGTATTGGGTATGACCAGCTTATTCAGCAGTATCAGCAGCATCCGAACCAAGCCCAGTTTCGCTTGCAGCAAATGCCGTCTGCAAATCAACCATTTAGAGATTCTGAGATGAAATTGGCAGCGGCAGCGCAGTCAGAAGATCGTTATGGCTTGGTTGCCTTGCTAGGCATAATAAAAATGAGTAACCCTGATTTGTCGTCGCTTGCTCTTGGAATCGATCTTACGACTTTAGGATTAAATTTGAATTCGACAGAAAACCTGTATAAGACATTTGCCTCCCCCTGGTCTAATGAACCGGCAAAGAACAACACAGAGGTCACTGTACCAGAGTGTTACTACGCTGTCAAACCTCCGATCCTTTGGGTAAGTTTCCGATGACCTTCCTATTAAAACCGGCAGAAAATTCCCTTTACATGTGTTTTCATTCCCTTTATTCAAAGCAATCAAACTAACTTCCAATTGTTTCAATTGGTTGCAGCAAGCAAATTTCTCAAAATTCACCGTGGAGACATTATTCTACATATTTTACAGGTGTGTCTCAAGGATACCCATAAATGGTTTATTTGACACTAAAGAATCTGATCTAACTGTAGTTTTCTGATGGTGTTCCAGCATGCCAAAAGACGAAGCACAACTGTATGCTGCAAATGAGCTGTACGTTTTCTTTACTGTAAATCTTTGCGTAGTTTACGGTTCACGATTCACCTCTTCTGCATCGGGTTGTGAATACGATAAGAGTACTGAGGCCTCTGAAATTTTTTAGGGGTTGAGTTGGGAAGTGATTTTTTTTGTTTTTACAGTCACAACAGAGGTTGGTTCTACCACAAGGAGGTGAAATTATGGTTCATGAGAATTGGGGAACCACTGGTGAGCACAGCTTCGTACGAAAGAGGATCTTATCACTGTTTCGACCCCAACAGCTTTGAAATAGCCAGAAAGGTAAAACCTTTTCCAACGTCCTTTTCTCTACAGTATCAATACCAGAACTTAAACGTAGGGATCTGAGTTTTTGCTGTCGTTGGCAGGAAAATTTTGTTGTCCATTATGAGTTACTGGAAAAGAGACCGGTCTTGCCTCAACGTTGACGTCCTAGTTTTGTTTTGTTTGCCTGTTCTCATAGTCTCTTCCCGTCTTTACAATGTAAAGCTTCACTTGTTATGCAGCAGCGGCAGCTCCATTTGTTTAGAGAAGAAAAAAAAAACAACCAAACCCGCCTTGTATGTGATTTTTTTTTTTTTGTTATCTTCTCCCTTTGATTTCGATTTTTTTACCCAAAATAGATGAAAATCCGAGGGAGATTATGACAATGACCATAAGCCCCCCAAGGTTTGGGGAAGGAACAATCCCTCTTTCTTTTTATGTTTTCGAGTCCTAATGTCGCCTGTACGGTGTTTTGGATTCTTCTAGTTCGGAAGGAACTGGTGCTTAGAGACCATGAAACCCAATATCATACTTGATTCTGCTGTTTCATATATATATATATATGTATGTGTATATATATGTATGTGTGTAAAAGTAAATCAAGTGGATACGTGTTTGATCATATCGTCCGATTAAGTAAAATGATATCGAAAGGATCCCCGAGGCCCATGAACGATCTGCCCTTGTTCGCAATCAATTGAAGGCCCATGTCTTGGTCCAGCAAGGGAACCCCGAGGCCTAACTCAACAGTTTGAGGCCCAGGTTTCGGTCCATGAGTTTTAACCAAGGGCCCAACTAATAGTTTTAGGCTCATGTTATGCCCCATGAGTGGGTATACCTCTAAGGCCTAACTCATGGTTTGAGGCCTAATGTATGGCCTACAAATTGTTAACCAAAGGCCTGAAACTCGTATTTACCAGGCCCAAAGAATCCAAGGGAATAACGCTGCTCCGAATTCACAAGATTATGGATTTTCGATCATTTCTGTGGGACTATAGTCCAGGGAAATTGGGAGCGTGAGATCCACGCGCTTAGGGTGCGCGTGGTCAGTGCTCTTCGAATTTTTTCCTTGCTATTTTGCTTTTGGAGTTTTGGACTTCTGGTGAGGCCTTCACACTCGCTGATTTGTTTGGGCCTTTATAAGCTTTATGGGCTTTTTAAATTTCTTTTCATCTTGCTTGAATCGAAGTTTTATTTTAAATAACAAAAAGCAACTATTAAATTTTTTTATTATTATTATTATCATCATCAAGGATGGGCCGTGTGTGTGTATATAACTATATATATATATAATAATAACAATACAATATACATGTGTAAAGGCATAAACTTTGACGTAAAAAAGAAAGCGAAGATCAACTAGATGAATTGGCGGCAACACAAGGAGATGGGTACTGTTTTCCAAAATCACCATCAGATCCTGTGTACTTGATATCAATGTCGGAAATCTCGACGTTTTCGCATGGAACTCCACTGCTACAAGCCAGTTTCATAGCCATTTGTGTGGATGATGTCCCATGTATGTTTCTAAAGCTGATATTACTTAACTTCACTTGCGAAGGTTTCTGTTCTCCGAAACCATTTACAAAATAAGAAATAATCAATTCATTTTTCTTGTTAGAGGTTTTGAATTTTGAGGATGATGAACGAAAGTGTGTATTTGCAATCTCACCTTGGCTTTACAGTGGTTGTAAGGGCAATACTCTTGATCAATCACAATAGGGTTGCTCACGTTAACCACTGCAATGTCTTGAAAATATAGACCAGTGGCTATTGCTTTTTCCGAACTCATCCATGTTTTAACTCTCACGCCGTTATCCGTGTTGAAGAAGGTACAGTTTCTGACAATGATACCGGAAACAGGCTCTTCTTTCGTGTATCTCCCAAGGCTTCCAACGCTAATCCCATGACCAGGCCCGCATTTCACACGCTCTATCGCGATATTCTCGCTTCCACGTCCCATAGAGATGCAATCATCGCCAGTGGACATTACCGAGTCTGTAATGTTTATATTTTTAGACCGTCCAATGTGGATTCCGTCGGTGTTAGGGCTATCTTCTGGGGCTTTTATATTCACTCTGCTGAATGTTAAATTGTTGCATCCAAGAACATTGATGTGGAAGAGTTTGCTGTTCAGAGATGTTATGTCTTGTACCAGTCCGTTTGTGATGAAGTTGAACCTTATGTTCTGCAAAAATAAACCAGGTTTTTTGTTACAAAATTGATATATCACCATTGTAAAACTATCAATTTTCGCAAAAGAATTGGATCTCCATCGAATTCAACGGATTATAGTTGAACCGTGTTTCGAACATCATACTGTGACATTAGACCCCCGAAAATCGAATCTTGACTGAACTTTTTTGGCCCATGATAAACAAAAGTTTAACCTACATATTGATGTAACTTGTTGTACAAGTAATAAGACGAATGTTAATATAATAACAAGGGTTTAGGGAAAGGAGACCAAAACAAC